AAATAAAAGAAAAGTAAAATAATATAAATTTTTACATATAAATATTTATAATTTTGGTTTATATATATATAAATAATTTTTTAATTATATTATTAAGCGGGGCGGGGACGGGAGCGGGTATGGGGGCAGGGGCGGGGGGGGGATTAACATCCCCGCCCTCGATTTTATCAATCCGGGAAAACCCAAACCCAAACCCAAACCCGATAAACACGGGTTTTCCCCATTCAAATCAGGGCGGGTTCGTGCGGGTACCCACAAGGGCGGGTTAGATTGCCATGCCTACTCACAATGAATTCATCCAAAGCATTTGTTTCCATGCCTCCAACATGTGATACATAATCTTTTAAATTCTAAGATTGTAGATTATAAACCTAATACTCAACCATACAAATCAACTTGTAAGGTAAGTGTTGCCCCAACTTATATACTCTTTAATTGTTTTATTTTCAATCGATGTGGGACTTGGGGTTTTTTTAAAATATTAAACTTATAAATTTAAATATTTTTTTATTTTTTCTGCGGATTAAAATTTGCAAGAAAATCCACAATTACCTGCAAAATTTTTCTACCATTTAGTAAACATTATTACTTGCGAATTTATTTTTGCAAGAAAATATGCAAGAAACAAAATAAAATTCTTACAATATTTTCTGCAAATTTTTACCATGGAAAAAAATTTCTATGATCATTAAAATGGTAGCAAAATTTGTAAGAAATATATGTAAATTATTTTTCGAAAAAAAATTCTGCGAATATTTTTTTGCTAGAAAATTCGCAAAAAATTTTTGTGAATAGTTTTTTTTTTTGCAAGAAAATTTGCAGGAAAATAACAATTTTCTAGTAGTGTATCCTTTTTTAATTTAATTATTTTTAAATATTTATTGTGAAAATAATAATTAATAAATCTTTTTTCATATGTTTAATTAATTGTAACATAGCTAATAATATTTTTAAATCAACGTGTGCAAATTAATAAATTAATTATTAAAATGTAAGACATTTGCATGTTAACGAAGAAGTGCAGAGAGCAGTTTTGGGTTATTGTAAAGGATTTTTTTATTAAAAATAATAATAATAACAGAAGCTAATGGAACATCAACGGGAAATTTAACATTGGGGTAAAATATTTTACTTATAATTATGACATGTATATATTTTAATTTGTATATGGAGATAAACATATCTTTTTAATATAAGAAGGAAAGCTAATGTAATATATTTTATCGGATTGGAGGGTAATTTAATCCACATTGATTTATTAAGAAAAAAAACCATAGAGTTGACTTGAAAACAAGAAAAATTTTGGCTTGAATATTAAATAGAAAGAAATATAGAAGAACTCATTTCTTTGAATACATAATAACCTCTAATAAATTCGTATAACAAAGACATAAATTAAAACTGAATTTAAATTCCTGTAGGTTATTATAAGGAAATAGATTAAAAAAAATATAATTTTTTAATTTTTATGAAAAAACAGAAATAAAAATAATGAAGGCTTTTCTTTTTAAAACAAAAATTAAAGGAGTTTCAACAGATTCCAAGAACCAAGTTGATAAACAGCGATGACCATGGGTAAATGAGTAAAAGAGGGACAAAGTTGACTTTAGATTATAACATTATGTGGCAACCCCAATAACTATCAAGTATTTCTTGTCGGATATATATATATATATATATATATATATATATATATATGAGTTAA